TGGATGACTCACTGTTCCTGAGCCCACAGAACAATCGTCACTTCAAAGACATAAACCTTGGGCCTTACTTATGTACTGCATCAGGGGAAAGACAGGAAGTCATCAAAGGATCCAACAGACATTATTCAAGACTTTGTGCGTTGAGGCACTGACACATTCGGCACTATTTACATAGGAACACATTATATTTAGCTTGCCGTCACGACACAGCACATGCAAGTGCCACAGCACTGTGCATCTCATGGAAGCACCTGAATGCACCTGCAGAGTAATGAGTAATCATAATTACAGAGCTTCAATAGAGGAACAGGCAATATTCCATGTGAACTGAATATAAATACAAAGATAAAGATCTAGTCTGCATGAAATGTGATAAAATTGCTCTCACAGTTAGAAATAGTGAGTAATATATATAACAACTTGTCAACTGGAATTATAATTTCCATGCTTTTTTGTTGGTGGTGATACAAAACATATCTTACTAATCAACTGTAAAATATTTTTTTAGTTTATGTTTATCCTCACTTTGCCTTACCAAAACAGTTGTGCTGTGTTGGAGGATGGGAGGAGGTGCATTTGTGTGTGTATAAGGATGTGTGTGTGTGTGTGTGTGTGTGTGTGTGTGGGTTGGGGTGGGTGTAGTAGATCTGAGTGTGACAGATTTATTACTCTGTGCTCCAGTCGAATGAGAGCGAGCAATAAATAAGGTGTGAGAGGAGAAAGCTCTCCATTGAACATAATCAAGTAGATCCTTTAGACTCGCATCCGTCACTCTTGTGGGTTCAGTGACAACAGGGGGTCCAAGGTGAGGTGAGAGTAGTTCCCTTTATTCCCGAGCTAATATGCTTTACTGTAAAAAAAAAATACATAAAATATAATATAAAACTATAAAACAATATCTTTACTGCCAGCACCTATAGTAATCAAGGCAATTATTTTGCCAGAATCATGACTGAGTTACTGAGCTTTCTTTCATCTGGCTTGCCACTTTAAACAACATACTAGTTCTCATATTCTTTTATGCAGCACTCTAAAGAGGTCTTTTCTGGTGAGGCATCACTAACTGAACCAATTCCCACTTTATGAGTGAATGAGTAAATGATGCCTTAATGACACTGTGACACGATTTCTGACACTGTTCTCTGTACTATCTACTGTCTTGGTCTCAAACACTCTTCCCATTTCTTTAGCTAAGAACTGCAAAATACAACGGGGCAAGTTCGAAGTTGAATTTAACATCCACAAAAATATAGATTAGTTAGAGGCATATAAGACTATTAAAAAATGCATATTACTACAATCAAAACTAGTGTATAGGCATAGATGATAAACATCAGCTTAAGGGAGTCTATTATAATACTACTCATGTTAGTGCTACACGATTAACTGCATATTATTTATAATGACAATTTTAGTAAAGCAGCTATTTAAGAAGAATCCAAACAATACATTCTCTATGAATGTCTAAAGTCTCTGCATTCTCTATAAACATGTAATGCATTCTCTATAAACGTGCAAGGTATTCTCTATAAACGTGTAATGCATTCTCCGTAAACATGTAATGCATTTTCTCTAAATGTGTAATGCATTGCCTATAAACGTGTAATGCATTCTCTATAAATGTCTAAAGTATTTTCTATAAATCTGTACTGCACTAAAAAGCTATGTTACTTGTTTACTGCATTCTAAATAAATAATCATTTTATCAGTCATTTCTACAAATACCTTATTGGACTCCACTTTGACTATATATGTATATATATATGTGTGTACATCACAACCATGCAAATATACCACACTAATGTCCAACCCTTAATATCCAATATTAGGTTGTGTATGTATGTACATGTAAGTATTGTACATTAGGTTATTATATTATTATGATTTGTTCTTTTCAAATAGATTTTTAAGCCATTTATTCTCTGTGGTGGCACTATACAGAATAATATTCTCTGACCATACACCTCAATCATTTTCTGCTGTCTTTTATTTGCCATGTGTGTCACAGCAGGATATTGACATCATATTGAGAAATGGTATCATCACCAGTCATCATGATGCACAGAACACAAACTGAGGCACTGGAGTAAAATGGCTCACTTCGCCACAGCATGATGCTTTGCAACATATATAGCAGCTTGCTCATAGTATGTTCACATTTACTTTGTTACTAGTCATGTCTTTTCATTTATGTCTATTCTTTTTTTTATTTACATTCATTAAGCTGAGATCTTATTACGGTGCTAATACTATAAACCAATTTTTCTGACACAGGTGACAACATTACACTACATGTCTGTGGGCACTGTCTACAAAAAAAATGTTGTCAATGCTTATTCTGCCTACAAAGAGTTTGTAAAAATAAAAAAAGGTTGCACAACTTTGAGCTTTGAAATACACCATCAACAAATGAAGCACCAGCAGGTACACACTACCTTTTTAGCCAAATCGTTCACGTCCCACTGGCACAAACATGCTTGCAGGCCTATGACTAGAGAGAACTAACCCGATACTAACCCAATACCTAGAAATGGTAGATCATTTTTATGTGCTCAGATGTGTTTAGTGAATTATTTGTTAAAACATCTGGCTGCTGGCTGACTTTTGACACACTGTAGACAGCACAGTGTTGCTGTTTTAGTTGTCAGACATGCTTCACTGCTTGAGCAAACAGACACAAGTAAACTGGAAGTAAGACTCTGTTTCTGTCTGTCTCGCTGAATCGTCCTCCTTTTACAGTCTGACAGACCAGCACTCAACACTCAGGATGTTTATGGTCCACATGTGAGTATATACCAATGTACACACTTACACTAATGGTGTCAAACATTCAAGCTATAGAGAAATCCTAAAACAAAGTAAAAAGAAAAAACCTACTGTATATGGCAAGTTTTTAGAAGAAAGAAAGAATATTTCAAGATAAAGTGCTTCTAAAGTAGCCCACTGAAAGTGCACCACTGCATTCATTCAACATTTTTTAACCCCAATGAAAAGCATGCTTAATAAACCTCGAAATTGTAATGATATTCAGTTCTATTTCAGACGTTCCCTACCTCTCGCCACACTCTCTGTAATGTACATGTGGAAAGCTTGGGCACAGCGCTGACAGCATGACAGATAAATGCGCCGTTTCAAGTAAGGGAAGAGAGCGTGGTGTACTTTTGAATATCACATAAGAGAAGATATGACAGTGAATCTCCGTAGGCAGTTTCTTAGTGGGTGACTGCAACGTAAAACCAGTGCATCTTTAACAAATATCTGGAAATCAAATCAACTTGCCAGCGGATATTTGTTTCGCCCAAATGTAAATACCATGCTGTTGGCATGCTGCTGAGATAGGGAGTGAGACATCACTGATTTTACACTCCTCTTTCGTAATGATCACATAGAAGTACTTTCCCAGAGAAAGAACATAGCAAGAAAACAAAACAACACTTAGAAATATTCATAAAACAAAAGAATAGTGTGTGCCATTCAGCCCTTCTCTTATATTGCCATCGTCCTGTAACTATGAGTTGCTGTGTGTTGGAGTATGAAAGCAGGTTTGTGTGTGTAGGAGGTGACAGAGAGACTTGTATACTCACAGTTTGAGCTGTCAGGTCACTCGGGTCCAGCGCTGGATCAGGGGCTCATCCTCTCACAGCTTATCCCACCGCAGGACACAAAGATAGAAAGAAAGAGAGAGTGAGAGCGAGAGAGTGAGAGAAAGAGAGAGAGGGGATTTTTCCTCCTTTCCAGCTCTACACGCTTGTACAAGTACAAGGAAGAGAGAGACACAGTGAAACAGAGTGTAAGATAGAGATTGAGAGAGAGAGAGATAGAGAGAGAGAGAGAAAGAGAGAGAGAGAGTGGGATGGGTCTGCAATGCGATCGGTCCTGGAAGAAAGCGAGCATTAGAATCAGTGCTGCTGATTCTTTGGCGTGCTGTGCGTGTCTTCACACATAGCTGTGAGCACAGTGTGGTCAGCTACACACGCCTGCAGTGTGTGTGTATACACACACACGCACACATACATACACACATACACACTCACAAGGAGGGGTGGGGGGTAGTGCCTAGGCATTCACTCACTGGCTGTGCCTTACACTGTGAGAAACATCAGAGAGGGAATGCACGGGAGAGAGAGGGGAGGAGGGACAGAAAAAAGCGGGGGAAGGAGGAGGAGAGAGAGATAGAGAGAGCGGAGGAGGAAAGGATGCACTGACAGTTTCACGCGAGCTCTTCGCTTGTTCTGGCCGCTAACGCAGGCTGACAGATACTGAACGGCAGAAGCAAAAGGCATCGTACACCTCCTCCTTTTCTATATCTCCCTCTTGCTGTGAATCTTACTCACCATAAACATGCAGTCGTTCTCCTTTCACATAAGCCACATTTGCACAGTTTCAGAGTTACAGTGAAAATGCAAAATGTAAGAACACTGATATAATGGTCTGAAATGCAACATTTGCTCTAAGCGGTGTGTAATGTGATGGGATGGGCTGCACATGCACAAACAGCAATCTATTTCTTTATGCTTTCAGTACTACTGTATACGTATATGTGACTCAGGTGAAGAGTCAGCCCTGAGATGACAGGATAGTAACTCATTCAGGTCTGAAACTAGAGCATACACTACACTTCACTGATTTTAATTAGGACACATATTAGCCATTTCATTCCTGATCTCACTGATTCATTCACTTTCAGTACCTGCTTCATCTTGGTCAGGGTTGCAGTGGATCTGGAGCCTATCTTGGATACACTGAGTGCGAAGTGTGGACACACCCTGTACAGGATGCCAGTCCATCATACACACATTCTCACCTGGGGTGATTTATTGTTGCCAGGCCACCTACTGGCATGTTTTTGGGAGGTGGGACGAAATCGGAGGAAATCCATGCAAGGCACAGGGAAAACATGTAAAACTCCACACAGACAGTATCTCAAGCTCAGGATTGAACCAGAGATCCTGGAGCTGGGAGGCAGCAGTGCACCACTGTGCCACCTGACAACCAAAGTATCCTTCAAGCAGGATTGGAACCAGTGACCTAAGGATGGCCTTGTTAGCACTTACAGTCCTCTCCGCTACTCTACCACCTGAGCTATTGAAGGCATCCCTAACCTCTCCACTGTGATTTCAGCATTTCTGTATTTTCTAAAAGTATGTCTCAACTACGAATGCATGCAGCAAGGAATGTCATCATTATCACTATCAGCATCATCATCATTATCTTGGCATTCACTAGTACCATGTTCTGCATGTGTATGCATGTTTCTTTCTACAGTGTAGCCTGTTCAGATTGTGGACAGGCAGTAAAATCCCTCAGGACTCGTCTCACTCCCTTCCTAATTAAATTCTACCTCGTTATCCTGCACGGGAGGCAAAGAGACACAGCGCATCTAAATCCAATCACATCAAATCAGATCTTTGTTTGCTTTTTTTCTTGTCTTGGCATGCTTGTTTTTTTAATAGTATCCCCCCGCTTTCTGAAACCCAGAGTATCAACTTGGAGCAACTGAAATAAGAAGCCTTAAAGGCGCTTGAGCATGGTATCCAGCCAAGCTGAATGGCAGTCTACATTACTGACAATCAGTCCATTCCGCACTCACATTAACATGAAAATGTACTCTAAAGTGGTGCTGTTTAAGCACTTGCACTCACAGGCATGGAATCACACACACACACACACGCACACACACACACATGTACATACAGATCCCAGACAGTCATTTAGCACATCTGCTGCATGGATCCCTTGCGGGGAGCCATCATATCCAGTTAGCACTGTGGGCCTGAAGTGAGACCCAGAGCAGCATTCTGCCTTGCCTTATCTGGTGCTTTCTCCACTCAACGCTGCCCTTCTGCCAACCCCACCGCTGGCACTCAGCACCCCCATTAACAGGTCTGAGAAGGTGCAGTCGGCCTCTGCCGTTCAGCTCCACAAAGAATAGCAATAGCCACCATCACTGAGCGAATAATGGCAATAATAGCAGGCTGCAACTCCTCTGTTTGCTAATTGGCTTGTCTGCTCACAGTCTCCACTCTAAGGGTCATGGGATTTTGTGGGTGGCATCTGTAAATAGCTAATCAACTCCCCAGGCATTCGCTTCACTTCAGAAATTATTTCTGTTGAATTCGTAAATAATGGGTGGGGGTTGGGATGTTTGGTTGGTGGGAGGGAGCAGGAGGTGGGTAACGACTACACTAACAGGGCTACACTAACTGCCAGAGACAAAAGAGACAGAAATAAATAATGAAGCCGCAATTGTTATTCCTATGCAGCCGACAGAAGTCGTTTGAAGTGCAGACTCGCCTTCATCTTGCCATGCCTGGAAAAAAAGCATCGCGAGGCCAGACGCAATGAAGACGTCTTTGACGCTTTTGGAGAATGACTAACAAGTCTGTAAGGGTGGTGTGTGGGGAAGTAGCTGGCATAACTGCTGAGCTGCTTAAGTGAGCAAGGCCAGGAGCAGGGCACCAAAGATATGCTGTGTCCGTCTTATGTTGGCTTTGTACACAAACACACACAACACACACACAGCAATGGCTGGCCAAGCAAAACACTGGTCACTTCACTCAGTCATGTCACATCAGAGAAAAATCAGCAAACAAGAGAAAGAACAAACAACCAGGAAAGTGACTCTCTGAGTACACATGACATTTAAAAAGAGTGAGATTTTGAGTAAATATATAAAATATAAGTCTCAGAAGCTTTTGGAAAGAAACCACATTGTGTGGGTGCTTCACTAGAGCTTCACATTTTCAACACCTTCAGTGTCATTGGGGCTAATCTGAATACCGAGGTACTGGTGCAAATTGCAAATGAAGAATCAATAAAGCAATATTCTGCTTTGACTGCAATCCATGTATAAATACAGAAAATACAAAGCTTGGGCCACATTACTGAATTTGACACATCACTTTAGACACAAAATGTACTACACTGTGGCCCTGATTTACTACAGTCTGAAATAGTTGATTTGCCTGTGCAGTCTGATTAATAGTACACACAGTTAGTGAATATGACTGCATAATTGATGGCACATGCAGGCTAGGGGTGGAAATAATATCTGAATGTTGAACACAGCTTCAGGGCCTGCAGTTTGATCTTGCTCTGCACCAAGATTACTGTCGGTGCAGAGTTTCACAAGTTCTCTCTGTGTTCATGTAGGTTTCCACCAGTTTCCTCCCACTTTCCAGAAACATGCTGGTAGGTGGAATGATAGCTTGCATCCCACCCAGGGTGTATTCCTACCTCATGTTCTTAGGTTAAACTCCAGGTTAAACTCCAGATCTTGACCAGGATAAAGTGGTTACTGAATATGAATGCAAGAAAGAAATAATTGTTCTCAATAAATAGTTCTCAATGATGTTGGCATGACGGTTCGACAAATATCTACTATGAAACCAACTAGTAACCAGTAATATTATCATTGTGAGAAATTCTTTCATTGGTTTGAGATATCTGGAAATAGTTTTGAAAAAACAAAAAAAATTTACGTTAAGTTTCTTTAAATGGTGGTAATGCAAATTTAATCCCTGCCGTTTGGTGGTATTAATTTGCACATGCAATCTTGATTCCTGAAGTGACTTTCAGGTTTAATAAATCACATTGCATGTGCTAAATCAATCTAATTGTACAGAAAAATTGTCCTGTTTTTTGCAATGTTAGGTAGAAATGCCCCAAATTGCATATTCATTAAGGAAAACATTCAAAACAGATATGTTACTTTGTTCATCTGAAAGATACAATCTTCTGGAAAACATAAATGAGCATTGCATTGCACATATTTCTATTCACACAAGCCTTCAGAAATTTAGGGCCTGAGAAATTATCCAGTACTTTTGTGTGTATGTGTGTAAGCCTGACCTCTGTTCTGTATTTAGTCCTCTTGTCTCAATTCAGAGGGAGATTCTGCAGTGAGGAGCTCCTGATAATATCATGATAACAAGAGCTAATTAAATTTAGTGGGACCAGTGGAGAGTGAATTATTTGGAGCGAAGAGAGGCTGAACTGCCATTAGCTTGCAGACAGTTTTATTTCTTCTTTTGTTCAACCTGAGACTTACTTTCTGCCTTCTGGTGAAGGACGAACTATCATTGCTGCTTGTTGTTTGCTAATAAATCATTCATACATTGCTGTTTCTCCTTTCAAACATTTCAGTAAACATTTGTCTATTGATTTGTCCATTGAAATAAATTTACTGATAAGCAATCCTTTTAAATCAAGTGTGTAAATATCTGCGCATAAATGGCTGTTTTAGTCATATTTCAATAAACCTTTTTGGAAATACCAGCCAAGTGTGTTTACCAAAATAAAATGTGCAATCACTTGACCAGTCTAAACCTGAAACTACAGAAACCCATAATGTTTCTGCCATTTGGACCCTCTACTCAGGCTTAATTAACATATTTTTTTAACATAACCTGAACACAAATATCCTCTAAGAGTTACAGCACTGTCCTAGAAATATTGTCACACGCATAGAACATTTAAAATCCCAACAGACCCAATCATATTTCATTAAAAATGTAAAGGTTTAGTCTTTCAGGTCATTTTGCAATTACAGCCATTTTATATGTATACTAATAGCATACATGAAAAGTTTGGATACACCTAATTCATTTTTTTTTCAGGCTTCAGGATTAAAGGCTGTCATTGAAGCGGACAGATTCAGGAAAAGAAACAAAAACACTAGGCAATACTGAAAACAAGAGATAGGCTAAGGGTCAGACGATCAGCAAACAGGCATAAACTGGACATGGCTAATGGCATAATGATAAGCAAGCAAAGGTCAAAACAACAAGGCAAACAAATGCCTAGAATCATCACAGGCACAATGCTGGAGCAAGATTTCCCAGTGTCTGTTTGGTTATTTATGGGAGATTAGGTGATTGTGAACAGCTGAATCCAATCAGTAATATGGAAATTGCAAATGGGGATAGGTGTTTCTTTGGCCTTCTGATTTGATGATCATATGACAAGATCATGGCCTGAGGTTCATGGGAAATGTAGTCTGTAAATTCAGGAGTTGCGTACATTGGCATATTGATGAACAGGTGAACACCCAATTATTTATATTAAGACAAATAAAGATCCATGCATTTGTGTTCATTTATTTCCAAAAGTTCTTTTAAAAAGCTGGATAATCATAACCTGTGGCTTTTTTTTAAAAATAGATGTTATAATTCCAAAAGTGGTAGGCTGTGATCAATTGCAAATTACAAGACAGATTTAATATAACATTTTTTGCATGTATTCATGTGCAAGTTTACTGGTTTTCATCTTCAAATTCATTATACTAAAATATGGAGACAGGAAAAATGAAGAAAATCCTTCTACGATTAGGTGTGTATAAACATTGAACTGGTGCTGTACGTGTGTGTGTGAATAAATCCCTAGCTCATCAGGCTTCTTACTAGAGGAGTTTGAGTTTGAGGGTGTGACACACTATTTTGCAGTGGATGGCACTTTTGATGTCATTCTGGAAATCGTCTACCTGCCAGGGATCATGACCCTGAGTGGCCTGACACTGATGGGAATACTCCGGTTTTCACCTTCTATGTTCTGTCCAGTCTCAATCCATTTCAGTCAGTGATAATATATGCAAGATATGCAAACAAAGCAATTAGAGCTTAAAACCATGTTTGTTTGGGTTAATGACTATTGAATATTGCACCTACAACCGAATATATGAATTGTAGGGAGAAACAATACCTCCAAAATAACTATAGCGCAAAACAGATTAACAACATTCTATACATTCCTTTATACAAGTTAAAATAAATTTAATCCTAGAATATAATTTGGATGATCACACCAGTAAAACACATTTAGAATTTATTCTAGGGTAAAACTGTTATTTACTAGTGCATACCTGTCAACTTATACTAGCTCTTTTTTTTAAGAAAGGTGTTCATTTAAAACATTCGTATTAGAGAGAGCATGTGTGGACTACCATAGAAAGATTTCCATGATGAATTGATCATTTTTAGACTACAGAGACATTTTCTACACTCTTATAGTACACTGAGTGTTTTACTTTATTTTATTGGTAGTTTCAAGTAATATAGAACATCATTCTGTCAAGGACAATGAAATTCTTTATTG